GAGGGCGATTGTGGCGGAGATGACAAGGAGGATGACTCAGATAAAGCTGCAGCTGAGGTAGTGGCGGTATCTTGGATGTTGTGAAGCGGTGTAAATCAATTGTTGTTGGCAGTTTGTTCTTGGGAATCGATTTGAGATGGAGAATGATTTTACGAGAGTTCAATACGTTCAAAACGACGTATTTTTTTTGGACTTTGCGAAGGGATTGTCTGATGAATTAACCATGCTTCGAGAGGATGACTATTTCTCTCAGTATCTGGTCATCCTTGGAAAGCGAGGCGTAATTCGCGTTGATTAGGCCGGGCACAAGGATACTGAAATCTTGATGTTATTTTTTTGTAGGCTGTTGTCAGCCTAAAGGTGGTAAGAGAACTTAATATAATGTGACAAGATCGATGTGTGAAAGTACTTCAATTAATCCTTAGAATATTAAGCTAAAGAGAGAAGAAAGAGACTATGAAAGGCGGGGTATCTACCCCAAACTATATACAAAGAACGTGGGTGACATTATAAAATTGGCGGGGAACAGAGCCTATGTGCCTCAGGCCGCCCTCATCATCAGCATTGTGACAAATTGTCACACTTGGGAAGGAGACATCTCAGATTACATTTCGCACGGAGAAAAGTTAATTGTTGATGGAGGTATATCTGGATAACTCAGGGTTTTGAGATGTTCCCCTGGGTGGGTATTCAAGGATGAGGGTTGACTTGGGGTGAAGAAAAAGCTACCATAACTTTGCAGTGGTACTTGCAAATGAAATCTGAGGCATGAGTGCTCCTCTTGTAAATTGAGTCATCTTTTCTGTACTTTTCTTTGATATTGTGTCATAGCTAGATAGCTCCATACGCAATTAAAATCTGATGCAAAAAAAAATCCGAAACCTGTTGCCTCGGCCATTGAAACATCCTTCGCCACGGCGATGATCGCCTCTTCGGCTTTTCTAGCTGCTGCCCGAGCTCGTGCCACATTCACGTGCTCCCCTTGCTGGATGTGACGGATCCGCTCCAGCTGCTCTTTTGACACTGGTCCCCCACAGTTGCGACACTTGGTGAGGGCCTTGCACTCGTCTTCCGAGTGCATATTTGATCCGCAATTCCAGTAGGCTGGAGCACAGGAGCAACCACAGGTGACGTGGAAGCCCAAACAGCGTTTGCACTGTTCAATTTTTCGGCGAGGCTTTAGAATGGTCGCCACTCCAGACTCGCCGAGATTACGGAAGCCCGCGCGAGGGGCGGAGTCCCGGGCGAACAGGGCTTTCCAATTTCTGTACAGCGCTCCAGGACGGCATATCTCGTGCGGTAGCACCTGGGTTGGAAACTGCTGTGTTTTTCTGTATATCTCATATATTATCCTTTCCGCATCGATCGTGTAGATACCGCTGACCGTTCTCATAGTCACTAGAACATTCGCGATCCGAAAGGCGACAAGGCTGAAGACTTCCTCGAACTTGGCGTTGAATTCCACCAAGTTCGGTGTAGCCTCTAGGAGCTTCTCCCTTATTTCCTCATTCCCTGTCAGAATAGCATAGCCGGTTCTGACACGGTGTATAGAGCAGGCGTCACTCAAGGTGCACTCCAGCCTAATCTGTAGTTGTTGCCTTATTCCGAGAGTCGAAAGCTGGCGCCAAGGGTGCTCCTTTTCCAGGCGAAGGAACAGTCGTTTGTCGAATTTCGCCATGGGAGCTTCTTTATTTAGGGCTTTGGTCGCAGGCCGCGGCACAGCCTTCGCAGTAGGGATTGCTTTTTATCGTATTCAGTTTCTGGCCACCGTGGCCCAGGTGCTTTTCACAGGCAGAGCTGGGACTGCGGGAATGGGTGTGCTCCTGGCTTCTGGAGCCCTTCGGGCCGGGTTCACAGGGCGAGGAGGGAGGACGGGTGGCGTGGAGGCCAGGCCCGTGGCCATGTATTGCGCGATGGCGGCGCGTAGGTAGACTCTCATCGAGTCTACGAATTGTCTATTTGACCCGTTGGTCAAAGGGAGGAGTGTTGCTTCGATGCCAGAGATGGCGGCGGAACTGAGTGCCAGATTTGCTGCTGTTTCGGTGACGCGTCGTTGTTCGGCTTCGACTATTGGTCGAGCTCCGGAAGGCAATCTGCTTTCGTGGCAGCTATTGGCTGCGACGTTACTTTTGGCGCTGATATAGGTGCAGCGTTTTCCGACAGTTTTGAGGTGGTCGGAGGAGGTTTGGACGATTCTCCAATCCCGTGGGGAATGGAGACTCGTTGAGGAATTTGCTCACCAATTTCAACTGACCCGACCATGTCAGTATCGGGCTCAGTGACGGCGGGGATGGCTTTTCCTTTCCCTTTAGTTGAGACCTTGCTCATCTCCGCGCATTTCGGAGACTGGACAAGGCCAGATAATTGATCGAGAGCCCTCGGGCGGACTCTCGTGTTGTCCAACGTGGCGTTTGGACGCTTTTTACGAACAGGTGGCATGGTTAAAATGCAAACTCGATGACTATTTATTGAAGGAATGCGACGAGCGCGAGAGGGAGGGAGAGGTGGAAAAGGTGAGGATTTGAAAATTCGAATTTCAAAAAATTGTGTGAGTGTGTGTTTATTGTACAACTTCAGTCTATGACTATCTAGCACCTTGGGCTCCTCTCTGGCTCAGGCCACACCTTGTGCAGTGCTCCTTGCCTCTTTTGTTACTTGAAAGATCATTGATATATTGCCCTTGATGAATAGCCATTCAGCTCAGTCTTTACTCGTGGAATTCGGCCACCTTTTCTACGGAACCTTCTACCCCCCAAAAAAAATAGAAAATAAAAAATAAAAAGGTAGCAATGGAAACTGTGTGCGCGGTAACAAGTCTCAAAAAACCTGCAGCCCCAGCCAGGCGAGGCCTAGACACCGGGACCACATGAGGTGCGCATATTCATCTATATCTCCTTTCTTTGTAACAGTCGAGGCCGACTTGATCCAATCCACCATCTCCGTATCGGTTGCTGGGTACGCTCCGGAAACTCATTGGATGGCATCTCCTCGATGATCAAGGGTTGGTGATGAATAGGACTCCGACCCTACCATCTGATCTGATCGTGGTTAGCTTCATGATAATGGCGATGGGGGAATGTGTTCAGAGATGAAGACGATACAGACGGCGAAAGCGATTGGGAATCCTCGTCGAAGTGAGGACTTCGTTACTCAATCTCGGCTCTGCAGACTATACAGTGAGAGGTGGAGGCTCGTAGGGGACACTACTGACAGGTCATGAGAATAGTCCCCCCTTTAGGCTTAGAGTCAGTAAGTGCTATAATGAAATGATAAAAGATGTCCAGAGTTTGAATCGAAGACAATTTTGTGCCTGCTCTCTCGATTTCCCGATATTCAGTGGAAATGAGGTGAAATCTGCCTACACTAGAGTTATGCCCCATAGAGGAAACAAAGGTGTCTTACAAAAGTGGTACTGCTGAAGACCTCCTACAGTCGAATAACGTATATACGGACGAACATTTGACTGACACTTCGATAGTCTCCGCTTTCCTATAAAATTATGATTTCTCAGCATCAGATATGTAGTCGATTTTAGCTTATCAAAATATAGCAACGACTGTACCAGCCTTACTATTGTATACAATTTAAGGTAATGAGTGAAGTTTAACTTCTACATATAATATTATACTAGTGCTAGCTCACTTCAAGTAAAGCCTATTTTCGCTCCTGATACAATGGACATTCTCTGTACCTGATAGGCATAAAATAATAGTTAAAACTTGACTGTATTTGAGATACGATCATCTAGATAGGCTAGTAGCGATATTGTTGAAAACGATTCAATATTAGGGTGGAAGCAGTACTCGGAAAATTGGGTAACTATAGGGGTTTCATTCTAATAAATTCATCTAGCCAGACTTTGTAGGAAGCTGTGATTTCCAATGATAGCCCAGTCGTTAACTGACTAATTATAGAGCTAAACGGGTTGACTATCGATAATGAACAAAGTTGCTCCTAAGGCTTAGGATTCATCTAAAACGCCTCCAATATCAACTATGAATTTCCTCATTATTTTTAATATTAAGTGTATAACCTAGCAAACATGGTTGAGTGAGCTGATATCAAATTTGTCAAACTGCAGATATAGGTTCAAGCTATTCCGACATGTATCAGACATGTGAGCCGCCACCCAACCAAACTTATGAAACAGCATTTCCGCGATTCAAAGTGAAAAATTAATTAAAATTATAGGTTGATATAACCGTGAAATAGATGATTGGCAGTCAGTTATGGGGCTCATGTGATTACACATTCTGAAAAGCTTCAATGACCAGTGGAGAGATATTGGACAAGGAAATTAGTCCTAGAACTGGCTGCATTAGATGAGAAGTACGTGGTTTCGTTTTTATAGTAACCTGCACTGGCAGAAATTGATGGGCCATTTCTACGAATACTCGATGTCGCTCTGCCGCTAGTGAAATCTGGAATTCCCTACTAGTGAATATAGGGCGATTGCTAGCTTTTTGCAGCGATAAGTGTCGTATTGTGGGCCATTTTGTAAAACGACATCAGTAGAGGCCATATCCAGGTTTTACTTGGAAAATAAAAATGCTAATATCCAGTTTAGGCCCTTCAAGATACATGAGGTGTTGGATAAGTTGTTAACTAAAATTGGCACTCGTAAAGCAGTAGTTGAGAATATTTGTGAAAAAAAATTACGCAGTTGAGTCGCGAGGTAGACTTAACCCCTTCCCAAAAAGGAATAAATTCAACCTCTATGAAATTTTGTTCCTTTATTAATAGTGTTTAGGTATATTATCAACAATGGTTTTCATCATGTTCTTGGCATTAAAATTTAAATGATAAGGGCTTCTTTGAAACCCAAATAAATGATAAACGTTGAACTATTTTTGAGGTTGCATAGCCTGTCAAGCCAGACTTCACTTTCATTTAGATTTCGTCGCACTTCTTTTAAAATGGCCCGTAAATCCAAAATACCAATTAAAAAATTGCTTTGAAAGGTTATGATGTGAATATAGTTGGGATGTAGCGTTAGGACTTTAGTTACGTCTCCCGTGTCCATTTGATTTCTTTCCATGTACTCTACCATTGAATCCAGGACTAGATTTTTTGATTGTTTCATTCTTCGTCAAAATAGTCCAAATATCTAAAATACTTGCACGATGAGTAGGCAACATACTATACTGCAAAGAGTACAGATTTTTGCGGTGAATAGGCGGAACAAATTTTCCAGTAGCTAGGCACAAAAGAACACGAGGTGACAAGTAGTGTTTGCGGATACGATGACCTAGTTGAAAATATTGATGAAACATTGCGCGGAAGGTTAGAGGAGTTGACTATAGTTGTTAGTATGAAATACACAAGTCACAAGGTAGGATAAACCTTCAAATAAATGTAAGAAGTCGGGTGTGATACATGAAGGGGATAAAACTTCGATTTATGTGTGCTCTGGGTTTGCTCTGCATCAGGTGGGGTATCTTGAAGTTCAAATCTAATCCCTCCTAGGAAATTTTAGGATATAAGATGGTGAGATTGTGCGGAGATTTACCTGGAAGTCTGTGAGGGTCCTTGATTCGTAGCATTAGGGCAAATAAAGGGAAATGGTTTAAGCATGCGAGCATGGTATCCAAAATAGCTTTCAATGATATAATCGTCATACGAGAGCATGCAAATGTAAAGTAAAATACTACAACAGTTGGCAGTAAAAAAAAGAGTAAAGTAAATAGAATAGTACCAAGGAGTAGCTGGTCAAGATCATAATCGCAAGAATCTATGCGTTTGCGGAGGACGTTGTGCTTTTTCCCACGGAAGAGCTGAAATAGTGAGAGTAGAATGGTGTATTGCCAGTTGAAAATTCTAGCAGATGCCATATAAAACGAGTAAATATGTAGCGTTAAAATAGAGATGAGATCAGATAAGAGGGCAATAGGCATGCTAGCTCCAGCAAAACTGGAGATGCCAATAAACCAAATAATGTGTGGCAGGGCTGGTCTTAGAGTTTCAAAACAACCTGCTTTTGTTGAGTGCATGATTTTTCTGACTAGAGTAGGACTTACTTGACCAGTAGTCGATGACCCATAAAAATAGATCTCCGAGAAAGGCAGCTAGCTCGTTATTGAGCTTGAGTCCAGCAGGCCAGTCCATCAACCATGATATTGTTGTTTGAAGAGCTGCAATTGAATATAGGCTTAGAATCCTACTAATTGATTCAGCTACCCAAGAAGCGTTATCGATTATGTATGAGCCTAGCGCAATACCAATGATAACATCATTTGCGACTAGCCAAAGGCTATTATAGAATCTAATATAGTCGGAATGACTGTTCGTGACGCTCTCCCAGTCATTCTTACGTCTTCGTAGAGTGACATACTGCAGTGGCCAATAACAAAACTGAAGAAGTCGGATCTCTACCTGCTGGGCAGTGGCCGAAATATCCTTCAGTGCAGCATAGTCTGGCTTCGCTCTCCATTCTAAAAGTAGAAGGAGAGCCTCAGCTAATACTCTGTGACATAGTAATACAATAATAAAAAATCGCCTAATTGTGGGATAGATATAGCTTTTAATTAATTGCCACGACACTGTAAGGATTATATCTCTCATTGTCACCGCCGATTCGACTACTCTCTCAGATACGCTAAGACTTCGTCTCATACGTGTTCCCACAGACGAAATATTTTTTTGAAGAAGTCTATTTAGCTCCCAGGAGCAATTAATCTGGTTGACAATCTTGAGTAGGGCACGCTCTTTCGCGGAGGCTGGATGCTTAATGACAGTATGGAGCTTCAACTTTTCTACCAGATTTTGCGACATTTTTTTGCTATTAGATTCTTCTTCTTCATCTCCTGTATAACTGCTCCTGCTAGCTAAATCTTCAGCTTCACCTTTATCCCCCAAGGCTAGAGTAATTGGCTTTAGTGAAACATATTGCATCCTGGTGGGTAAAGGACGTTTGTACAATATAATCTGAAGTGTAGATGCCCTGGCGCAAAATATTTTTGGCAGACCTGATGTAGAATCAATTGTTGCATGAATCTGCAAAGTTTCAACTCCTACTTTTGGCATGTTTAGGACCCCTAATACTTGAATCGAATTTTGACCACACAATTCAAAAATCCTTGCCACAGGATGAGATGAATTTTGTGTCAGTGTTCCCGTCTTTAGAGCTTGCTCAACGCTTGTCGCCTAGATATAGCTTAGTCGACGCTAAATGATACTATCTTGTGAGGCTTACATCAACATCTTCCAGAATTGCAGTAACAAATAAATCTAGCCCAGAGTTTCTCCAGCCAACTATCACACCGGGATAATCGATTCTTGGTATACCCGTGGGCCAAAATATTCTCATAAGACCATCTTGTTCGGACATGGCAGGGTAATTGGAAGAGAGCAAAGCCTCAAAACGAGCCTCTTCGTCTTAATTGTTCTCGAGCCGAGATTCCTGCGCTTCCAGATCGTGGGTGCTTGAGCGTTATTAGTACTGAAGAGCTGTAAGACACTTATCTCTTACCAACGCTGTCTCTCTGGATGCCAGTCTTTCAATGGGTATGAAAAACAAGAAAAATAAAATTGATAATAGCGTAAATCCTTTCGCCGTGCGTGTCTATTTAGTAAGGTCAATGTATATCTTGTGGCGGGTAAAACGTGTAAGAAACTTACTACAACTCCATGATCCCAGGCGAAGATGGCGAGCTCATAGAGTCGGGTGACAAGATCCCACCGAGCAGTTATGTAGCCAGCTACGAAAATTGCAAGAGTTAGTACGGAGAACGGGTGCATGAATCGGTTTTTTGATTCCTCGTATATTCCGCGCTCAAAGCGCCGGCAAGGCCACTTTTTAATGTTAGTGCCTACACGTCTGATATCCCTTTGGAGGCACTATGATCTGTTATTAAAACTAGTCGAATATTCCTACAAATTGAGAACTGGCCTGTGATAATTGAGATATTGAGGATTTTAATTTTATCACGAGATTCGAGTGTGGCTATTATCAGCTCTCACGCGGAGCGCTAATGTGGCACATAAAAATTAAGTAAACGGATAGCGCTTATCCATCACCTTCTAGCAGGAGCAGAAAGACCTAACATCTGTAAGCAATGTCCCCTGCTAAGCTACAGCTTTCATTATGGAGCCTGCAAAACTGATATTATGTTAGAAACTAGTGAGAAAGGCTGGTACTTTCGGTAATTTTACAGAATTCTCCGCTCCCCGACATGGTAGGAAGGAGCTAGAATAAGCTACTTGATAGCGCACGTTCCCTACAAAAGACTTACAAGGAGGGAAATGAGGGCAGGACTGAACACCTGTATGCGGTGTCCTCTACAAACCTGGGAGTGAAACATTCTCCCAGAGCCAAGTTCAGTCAAATTTCGCAATATCAAATAAGTTGGCCCACGAGGCAATGATTCAAGATTCAAACTACTCCACCGCGTCAAATCTTCACTCCCAAAGAGTCCGATTCCTACCTGAGCCTCATCAAGTCTACAAGTACGACCTAGTACACCCTTATTCTGATGATCACACCTCTCTTCGACTTTCTCTGGCCTCAGCCAGTCACCAAATATACGCCTACGCCGATATTTATACCCTACAGAGGAAACAAAGCGTGGCGCACAAATCTGGGAGACTGTTCTTTGGGATTGGCGTGAGAGGATTTAGGACAAGTTCACAAGATGATGCAAAGGACGAATACAGTCTCGACGGGCGTGGAATCTTGAATTTTGGAAAGGAGTTTTTATAAATTTAGCTTTGTGCGTGCCAAGACTTCGGTTGCGAGAGTCCAGGCGACAATATAAACACCGCCATGGTTGGATGGTGCGGTGGTACATCATATGGGTCGGTATTCCAAGTAGAGTCTGGAAAGCTTGGACACAGATCCCACTTGAGACAGGAGATCGCTGGTTCAAATCCGGCAAAACACTACCACTTTTGTCGCGGGGCTAGTTTATATGGATGACGAAGGCATGCTTAGATAACCAAAGGTTTCGAAATTCCCTATGGTGAGTACTTACGCAAGAGGGTCGGCTGTTTGTGTAAGCAAGCATACCTCATAGTGCTATCTGCGAATGAAATCTAGAGTTTGAATGTGTCTAACGTCAAGAGAGTCATCTACTATGTATACACAGTACAGGTCATGTGTCATAGCGAGGTAGCTGAATACACAACAAATAATTTTAAAAAAAGGGCCTACAAGTATGTAACCAATTTCCAGTGTATCTCCAGAATCGAACGATGGAGTAATTTGAAAGGGGATAAGGAAAACCGTGCATGTCCCCTATATTTACATAAAATTCTGCGGCACTCGGCTAACAGGCTTCTACGAACGCTTCAGAAGTCTAGCCATTTCCTTGGATTTATTCCTTGTTTCTATATCTGTGAAATCTAGTACCATGAGACTTTTGCGCATATCTACGGCTATCACACAGGAGCTAGTGGCAACCGTCTCGTTATCTTGAGGCGAGAAACAATCAAGTGTTAAACGCTTTTGGGAGTGTAGAATCGGTTGGATGGTTGTGAAGAGTATCCACAACTGGAAGGTGGCTTCAAAGAAGCCATTGATAACCTCATCCAGTAAACATAGAATACTTACGTGTCCTGGATAGTCTTTCAACAAAAAGGAACACAATTAGCAATGAAACATAATGCTGCAGTTACTATCTTTGCCTTTTTATCATCGCTGTCAGACCAGTATGTAAACAGCAGGGAGGAGACATGGGTCACAGAGATGGTATTCAGGCTAAAGGGTGCCATCCTACAACATGCATGAGATAGGTGCATAACTACTCGGCCAAAAGGCCAGACCAGAATCATAGAACACTAGATTCTGATCATGTCCACAAACATAGATCATACAGAAGGCAATCCTGACAATCGCCATGCTAGCGTAAAATACTAGTTATTATCACCATTAGCTGGATAGCTAGGATATGTGAAGTCTAACTGACGTGGTGGCACGGGAACTAAGATCCGCCAGTTGAAGGTCGCTCATCTTACTACCCAACCTGCGGCAGTCGGCGAGGGAGAATTCTTCACCTTCCAGTGGTGTCGATGTAATTGCTCAGTATGTGGATCCCAATTGATGGAAACCCGACCGTGCACATTGTGCGCTGTTGATTGGCTCACGTGGTGCGGGGGAATATTTAAGTAAATTGGCGATCCTGTGTGTGTGTGTGTTTTATTGTACTACTTGAGTCTATGACTATCTAGCACATTGGGCTCCTCTCTGACCCAGGCCACACCTTGTACAGTGCTCCTATCCTCTTTTGTTACTTGAAAGATCATTGATATATTGCCCTTGATGAATAGCCATTCAGCTCAGTATCTACCCGTGGAATTCAGCCACCTTTTCCACGGAACCTTCTACCCAAAAAAATAAAAATGGTAGCAATGGAAACTGCGTGCGCGGGAAAAAGTCTCAAAAAACCTGCAGCCCCAGCCAGGCGAGGCCTAGACACCGGGACCACATGAGGTGCGCATATTCATCTATATCTCCTTTCTTTGTAACAGTCGAGGTCGACTTGATCCAATCCACCATCTCCGTATCGGTTGCTGGGTACGCTCCGGAAACTCATTGGATGGCATCTCCTCGATGATCAAGGTTTGGTGATGAGTAGAGCTCCGACCCTACCATCTGATCTGATCGTGGTTAGCTTCATGATGGTGGTGATAGGGGAATGTGTTGAGAGATGAAGACGATACAGACCGCGAAAGCGATTGGGAATCCTCATCGAAGTGAGGACTTTGTTACTCAATCTCGGCTCTGCAGACTCTACAGTGAGAGCTGGAGGTTCGTAGGGGACACCACTGACAGGTGTTGAGAATAGTCCCCCTTGGCGATCCTGTATTACAGAAAGAAATACAAGTATTATTAGTCTCGAGCTCTACTCACATTATATTGTTGATTAGTCGGAGCCACAAGACACCTGCATAAAATCATTGTGATCATAAACTGATCAACCAGAAGCCACAAGTATGCTTTGCATATCTAAGATAGCCAAGAAGAATCGGATCCGAATCGAAGTTGTAAGCAAACATAAGCATTTCTACCATCTTCGACCACTCATCAATATCGGACCCATCATTATCTTAGAAGTCTTCCATCCCAATCTCACCACAAACCATCACGCCTCAACGACCGATCAAGGAGCTACTCCAATTACAAACGGGAGCCTGTCTCTCAAATTACCGGTCATCTCTTACAATATTACGACGCTGCGCATACCCGCAAGGAGAAAATCAAGTCATAATACATAAAGCTCGGGTCCTGGCATTTGGGGAATCATTGCTCTAGTGGTGCTGTACAACTTGAGGAAGGATAGGCATCTAAGACGTAAAAAGCGAGGGGCATGAGATCACCATTTGGTATACTGGGACTGACATTTTTCGAGCGTTTTCCACTTTGGAAAATTTTTGGATGCCAAGACCAAGATTTCGGATAGTGCTACTGACCCTTTTAGAATAGTACGCACAACTGTTGCTTCGCTTGACAGAGGTTTTTGAAGATGAGTTCGGTAAATATGACAACAATTGGTTCAAGCTAGGTCGTCCACGCAGGAATTGATCTCTTGGCAAACAATATCAGGTGGTTCAGGCGAGGCGTGCGCCACCAACCCTATAAATTTTGTTTTTTAGTTTATTTCCTGGCTCATATCGAACATTTCTACTTGATAGTATTGAATATTTCGGGATCAACAGACCGTGTATTGTCAAATTATATGGAGGACTCATATTTGGTTCTTTATGACAACTATCAATCAGCAACTAGCTTATCAATCGAAGAGATGGAAAAGTCTGAACATCGATAGACAGTATCCTCTACGAATCTAGCAGTGAAATATTCTCCACACGTTGAGATCCATCAAAGTTTGCGATACCAGAGAATTTGGTAAACGACACAATGACTCATAACTCCCTTAAAAATCAAAAATGCACTATCATTCCACACTATTTTGTAATTTTCCAACACCTTCCTGCCATCCATTAGAAGCCATCACGCAAAGAACTATCTCTTGGTGCAATGGCTTTCAATATTGAATCGTTATAATCAACGCCACATATTCAAGGAGGGAAACTTCAGCTAGGCCAGCCGACATTGCTAATACAATGCAAATCGCAGAACACGAAAGAAAGAAAGACATGTTCTGGCCAAGAATCTCCTAGAATTTGTGGACGTCTGGACCAAGACCAAAGCACAAACAAACACATCGATAATTTTGGCTTCTGGGAATTTCACTTAACGGTAATTTTCACCTAAAGCCAACGCTGTGCACGTTGCGCGGGTGTGCATCAAGCTTTAGAGTGTCAGGTTAAAATTCCTTAACACTCTAACTGCGTGAGTCCCCATGACTCTTACGGGTGTAACGGCTACAAAGCCGATATTTCCTGTAGCCAGTACTGGCAAGTACTGGCGTACAACCACCTGAGAACGGGCAGGCGCAAAAACCACGTAAAAGATACTAGAATCTCCTAAGAAGGGACTAGAAAAGTCTCCATGTGAGTAAGACTGATACTGAACCTTGGAGAAGCTGCTAGAAATGATACCCTTAGAGTAGCAACTGGAATCATCTAGAAATGAGCTGACTATGGAGGGAAGAACTTAGAGTGTAATAAATCTGTATATATACCTGGATTAGTATGTAGAACTTAGGTCTTCATAGTTGAATTATAAAATACCATCATCCATACAAATGCTCCTTGCTTTCTATAGTTGATCTGTGACAACGGGCTCGAATTTATGGCTCAGCCTAGACTCCAACAGGGAATAATCGTACTTTGTATAT